TAATGAAATGTTTTATTAATTATGTTGTTTTTATAAATTAAGAAAAATAAAAATAAAAATTAATTTATTGATTAATAAATATCATATTATAGTGTGTATATATATATATATATATAATATCATAATTAAATCCTTACAAATTTAATTATAAAAAAAAATAGTGGGTCCCATCTTCCTCCCATGATGCGTGTAATGCCTATTGAACTCCCTTCCCATTAAACTCCCCATGACACCATTCACAATGCATGATGGGTGTCATGATTCCCATTAAACTCCCCATGACACCCCATTGGAGATGCTCTTACCCTGCTTTTTGTCACGAGTTTTTGGAAACATTATTCTCCAAAATCAAAATAATGATGATTCTCTAAAATAGAGAAAGCAGAGTAGGTGAAATTCTTAAAATTTTGAAAAATTCTCAAAAAATAATTATCATTGAAAAAAATAGTTTTTATTTTTATTTTTATATTATATTTCACTAATGAAATTTTTGATGTTAAGTGTTTATGAAAAGAAAATGTTTTATTATGTGTATAAAATATTTTAATAATATATTTAATGTTGTAATATCTAAAATGGACTATCTCTTGGAGTTGAGTGTAAACTATTTTAGAGATTTTGAATTTTGATTCTTTTTATACAAAATTTTGAAGAATTTATTGGAGATGTTCTTGCATAAACCAAACCCAACCTAAATGACGTTCACAGATCCCATATTAGGTTTTCAAGAACTAATGGGAATCCTTGGATGTTTGAAAAAAGTCTTCTTTACGACATTGTTTTCAAGATCTAACCCATCGACATCGAAAACTAGTTTTAAATCCCCGAAGGGTAGCAGTGCTTATATATCGTATTAACAATCCGCAGTGAGAGGTTTTTATAAATAAAAAAGTATAGTTGTTATAAGCTTTTATCGTAGTGGAGATTTTTTCATACGTTTTTAACATATTTTGAGTTTTCACAAGAATGTTGGTTCTTATCTCGATTATTATGCTAAATGTTATTAGCTTTTTATATGTTTCCTGAGACAAAATACATAGGACTCACAAAAAGAAGGTTTGTGTAAATAACCACCGTAGGGAAACTTATGAAGTTACTTCATTTGTCAGCGACAATAATATAATAAAACAAGTGTAAAAATGAAGTGATGGACATTGAAGGATGACAGACGTCCATTGGCGGATTTATGTGTAAGCCGTCATCACTTTGCTCAGGTTTTTATAATACAAGGAATATTGCATTCAATCAGCAAAACAACCAAATGTCACACATATAAATGAAAACATGACAATAGCAACAATTTCATAAGATAAACAACTATGATCGAGTCAAGACAAATCACCATGCCTCTTAAAAAACGACCTAACAGATAATCCAATAAATCAAATCATGGTTAAGTGCATCACGTACTCATCGTGATCTGAACCCGTCTCGTGGTTTATACGACATTTTCACACAACCACTTTAATCTTATGCAAATAAAATTACTGGATTAATTGACATGATCCCAATCGGATTGACAATACCGATGGGTTATGGACCAAACATCTATTGAAATGAAGTCTTTGCTAAGGACTTATTGATTGGTTTTCCATTCTGTTCTATATAGATTAATCTATCTGTGTAGATAACGTTTTTGTTTGAGAGGGTTTTTTTATCGATGGAATAAACATGTTTTTTAATTGGGAAAGACAAGTTTAGAAAACACTTTGACTTTCTGCATAACCCCCCTCCCTAGAAGCTTATAAATAAGCCACTATCAAACTGTCATGTATAGTTGACCGGATAAGCTGTGAGTCCCATTAAGCGGCTAACAAACAGACCTTTAGGGTTTTAGAACTTCTATGAAAACCCTATTTTACCCCTAGCACCATGTTGAATCATTAAAAGGCAATATCTAAAATTGATTTTGAATATACAGCATTGAATCCAGGCTAAATGATCACTCAAGTTTCAGCTTTGTTTAATATACCCTGTAAAAAATATACAAACTCACCTCCTTCCAAAGTAAGTCCACTTTACAATTTAGAAGAAACGTAAAGACGATTTTACCCTTGATAAGATAAAATTTAACAAAACGACGACATCCAACCTTCGAAAGAAGGAAGCTCTATAGTAGCGAAAAGAGGCAGATAGATAGGTTACTCTTCTTCTTCATCATCAAGACCGGGTATGTACTCCAAACTCACATCGAAAATGACAGGACTGTTTGCAGCGACTCTGGGCCGTCCTGGAGCTGAAGCTAGACCCTTGGGAAAAGCCAACTACATCAACACAAGAATGGCTTCTTAAGTTTATATACCATGCAAGATACATATTTGTAAAAAATACGATAAGAGTTGACTTGAAACAAAAATAATCAACATCAACATATTATTACAAGTAAAACCCAACATAGATTATAAAGGAAGTGTTCTAAGAAAAGATAGCATCCTAAGGCCAACTCATTCGTTATAATTCCACACTGTCAACCATTCCATACATCTAAATACCAAAAGGAACTAAATCAAAGGACCAAGCAAATCCCACACAGAGGTAGGGTCTCGGGGGTAGGATGTACACAGATCTTGACTCTACCCCAACAAGTAGATAGGTTGTTTCCGTTTAGATCCCCTGCTTGCAAAATAGAAAGTACAAGGAACAAGCGAGAAAGCTACAGGTGAGAGTGGGTGCAAACAAGCAAAGGGTAGAGGCAAGAGAGACCATGTCTTCAGAAATGTCTAAATATCCTATTTCTATTATAGGAAACAGCCGAATCATCTTAGGTATCTAACATTATTATGGTACTAAAGGTTCTTTAAAGATAGATCAAACTGAGTTTAAACATATGCACAAAAAAATTAAAAAAATAACAAGATTTCAACAAAAGAGTTTAAAGCATCATCAAGTGACCTCCTACTCACTCAACAGGGCAACTGCCTCAAAACATTAGAATTAACAAGTTCTAAAATACTCTAAAAACCTGCATCTCTCCTAGATGTTTGATAAATGAGAATTAGTTTTTTATATCGATTGCAAAACTAGCGACTAAACTGGTTAAAATATGGAAAAGAACACAGAATTGGCTAGAATGACTGATTCTTTTCCAATGGTTATTTTGCAACAGAACTACAAGCATGGAGGTTAGAATTGTCAACTCTAGCATACTTGTGCTATTTTTGAATTTTGGCAGGTGCAACGGTTAGTTTGCAGACAGGTACGATGATTAAAAAACTCATTCGGTCATTAAGAAATGCACCCATATAACAGGTCATATAAACTTTTTAAAAAAGAGGGGAAAACGCTGAAGAACTTACAGATCCAGGAACATATAGTCGACGCTTTCCTCCAACTTTCATGCTCAGAATCCCTTCATCCAGTCCTTTCACAACCTACAGTTCAGTTAGCATCCATGGTGTTAACATGAAGAGCTAAAAGATTAGCTCATTCGAATTTCAATTGAGTGACAGTTAATGCACAAGAACTAAGGGCCCGAATTTTTGATGGAATGTTTTTGAGGGATTTGGATTTCGTGGAAGGATTTGGAATTGAAAGAATTTGGAATCTTTGGTGTGTCTGGTTTGTAGGAATTAGAATGGAATTGAATTCTAATTTTTGTAGATAATTTATACAAAAAATTTTAGGTTCCTTTTGGTTTGCAGAAATGGAATGGATTTGGGGGGATTTGGATTTCAAATCCATTCCATTCCCATGTTTAGTTTGTTGGATTGTCCGGATTTGATAATCCTACGATTTTTTTGAATCCCTACAAACATAGGATTTTGAAATCTTTAGGGGTGCTCAAGATTTCATGGGACTTCGTAGGATTGTATGAAATAAGGTTTTAGAAAATGTTAAAAACATTTATTTTGTAATAATCGATTAATAAAAATGTAATTTAATTATTTTTATAGCTATTTATAAGTTTTTTATAAACTATTTATAAATAATGGAATCCAATTCCATTTCAAATCCATATCCCGCTATGAAATCCAAATCCCTCAAAAACAATTGTGCAAACCAAACGGACCCTTTACAGACAATTATAAAAATAATTAAATTACAATTAATTAATAACCTTGAACATATTTTAGAACATCATTACAAAAAAATCGTATGAAATCCCAACAACCCAATGGGCTTTCTAAATCGAATGTTTATGTGATTTCATTGACATATCGGTATTTCAATTCCGGAGTTTCCCTTAAACCAAACGCGGGACTGAAATGGAATCCAATTCCATATCCCACCAAATCCGACAAACTAAACGGACTATAACCAGACCTTTGTTTTGATGGAATGGTTTTGAGGGATTTGGATTTAGTGGAAGGATTTGGAATCGGTACTGGATTTGGATAGGGAATCTTTGGTGTGTTTGGTTTGTAGGATTTGAAATAGAATTGAATTTCATTCTTTCTAAATAATATATAAAAACAAATAATAGATAATTATAAAAAATAATTAAATTACTTTTTTATTAATTGATTATTACAAAACAAATGTTTTTAACATATTGTAAAACATTATTACATACAATCCTACGAAATCCCATGAAAAACCAACCGCTTCCGTGGGATCTCAAAATCCTATGTTTGTGGGAGTTTTCAGTGAAATGAAATCCCAGGATTTCAAATACAAAAAATCCTTCAAACCAAACATGAGATTGGAATAGAATTAAATTCCAAATCTCTCCAAATCCATTCCAATCTTAGAAACTAAACGGGATATAAAACAATAAAAGATGGATTTTGATTTTAGAATAGAATTGATAAACTAGAATGCCTAAAAGAAAAGCTTTGCGCTTGATTGTATGTAAATCATGGTGATTTGAGGAAGGATACTAAATGTCAGCTGATATCAATTTATAGAGGAATCTGTTCACCAAAGGGCTTACCTGACCTGACCCAACACGAAATATGTAAACCTGACGCTTTTCCAGAGAACTGAAATTTCCGTCAAGGAAAATACTTGAGTAGAAGCCAAAGACGATAGGATCAGTAATAAATGTTTTTAATCTACAAGTGACTTGATAGCTGATTGCTGATCTCTATTACACATAGAGATATGTGCATAAACTAAACGAGCCAGATTTGGAGTAAAGCGGTTAAGATGTGCATGTAGCATACAAAAATGAAAAATATCAAAATAATCATACAAAATTGAGTAGGTGGGTGATAGGGGCCTTAACAGTAATATCATATATTCATTGATATAAATATGCTCATTGTACTAGATGGCACAAGTAATCACATAGATATGAACAGACAACAAGAGTTCATCATATAACCTGTCGAATACTTGTCCTGATGGAACCATTGCAACATAGTTTGCTGCTACCTGTAATCACAAACAACAAAACAGACATGTTACAAGGTGAAAGGTAAAGGGTTTTATGATTTTATTTTCATGATGAGGTGAAAGGTAAAGGGTTTTATGATTTTATATTCATGATGAGGTGAAAGCAACACAGTCGGGTCAAAGAACCATACCTGATAACCAACTGGAGGAGTAGGGCCAGAACCAACTTTTATATCCTTGTACTGCAAACCAGACTCTGTAGTTACCATAGGTACCTTCATAAGTTGGAAAAATGTATAGATAAGTACAGTTCATAAAACATATATCAGTGGTAAAGTAGATGAATAATGTGTAGAAATGGGCAAATAGATGTTCACCTGAAATGGGTATATTGAAAAATATTTTGCAATTCAGCATTTAGGTAGGATTAAGCGGTTGGGGACCTGATATGAACAGCTGAAGGCCTCCCATACAGCTATTTATTAGAATAAGCACGTATAAGTGGTGATTTTTTTGTTTCACTCAGCTGCCTGAAGGCATTCTCAGAGCCAAAATAACAAATAAAAACAAATCCTCCCTTGTTCTCTGTCTTCCTCCACCCCATTGTTCTACCCCTCTTCTACCCGCCAACATTTTTATTTCACTAACACGTTAAAAATTGGCGAAATTTTTATATAAAACTCAATCTATTCACTGATTTAGAACCATAAATTACTAAAATCAAAACTAATAGAAACCATTGAAAGTTTTCAATTCAAAAAACCAAGTCTAGACTAGTATATTTTCATCATGCCAACATCATCATTAACCAATGGTCTCTCCCTATTGCATAAATGCAATCTTGGAGTTTGAGTGCACTTCCCATAATGGAAAGCCAGAGTAAAAATGGGACAAGGTTCACCTAGAAAGAGCACGACCCTGCTGGTAAGACTATTTGAAGCATATGTGATGCTTAATATAATCATAAATTAACTACATTTTTAGAATGTAACCAAAGTTGAGGATATATGCAATCTCACCATACATTTTCAAGCTCTTTCTCGCAAGTATCATCACATAGTCTTGGTATCTCCTGCGGTGGCAAGCCAGCTGCCTCGGCATTCAAAGAGTTAATTCGAAGGCTTGAAGCACTTAAAGCTAATCCAATCACATCCCTCCTCTTAATTAATATCAACTCATCCTCGTACCCAACAATTTGTGAAGCTTTCATCCTAATTTCCGAACTCAAATATTTTGCTGTCACCCTTCTGGGTCTGCCTCTGGTTATTGGATGATAGTTGGACAAACTCCCAGCAAAAGAAGAACCTGCTAAGTTAGACTCAGTCATCAATCAAAGCATAGCACATTGTAATACAATTCATATTCATTGGGTATCCTGTAGGAAACTACTGTCCAAAATACAAAGATCCAAATCAAATGCCTACTGCTTCTTGTTTGATCAATGTAGAATAACTTCAAAGTAATATTAGTTAAAGGGCAAAATGCATCAAAATGTAACGAAGTTTACATTAGTTCTTATTTAGTGTAACAAAGAACTTCTTTCTCTATTAATGTAACGAAGTTTTAATTAATGTAACGAAGTTTTAAATTTTTCTATAACCATTTCGTAAACGGATATCCACGTCATAAAATGTTAGAAGATCAACAAGTTATCGCTGAAAATGGGTACAATATAGAAAATTTTGGAACTCTGTTAAACATTTTAGATGATGCATTTAAATGAAATCTTCCATTGATCCTCTGGCTCCATTGTCCTGTAATGGCCACTTAATCTTCCATTCCATTATAACCAATTACATCTATTCTTTACATCTTTAACCATATCCTTGTCTTTCTAGTCTTCCCCAAAGAACCTCCTCTCATCTTCTGGTTCATGCGAAATTTACATCTACTCTTCAATTCCTATAAAAATTGAAACAATTCCCAATTTCACGTCTAAGATCATTGCAAACTTTCCTTCTTTCCGAACAGTTCCAACCCAAAATTACTTAATTTTCCATTGAGAATTTGCCAAATCAGAAACGTTAGCATTTAAAATAGTTGATTCAGAGTACTTCACTAACTAATAGCAGAAAAATCAGACGTTTAAGCATCACATTACAACAGCATTAGAAAATAACCGAAACCCAAAAGTACATTTGAGCACAGAAACTTGAAGAAAAGGATATTTCTATTACCGAGTGGAAGTAGGAGAGAGGCGGATGCCATTTTTGATCCAGAAATGAAGCGTGTAGCTTAGCTTTCAACGACTATGGATAATGGAATAGGAAGAACGATTCTGGCTTTCTTTGGATGAAGAAACAAGTGGCGGCAGCGAACGGTTGGGGTAAAATAATAAATAAACAAAAGGAAATGCTATGTTATTGATTGCATCTTTATCAAAGGAAAGCGAGTCCTAATAAATCCAAGGACTTTCAACATTTCGGAGGAGGTGGGAGCTTTTTATCTTACCTAATATTTTCGAGGAGAATGGAGCTATTTATCGAATGTTTATAGGTATATCTTTATCGGTAAGTGTTTGTGTCAAACGAATCTATAAAAGTTTTAAATGTAATAATTTGTAGAAAAATGATGAGCATAAACACACAATTTTCACTTTTTAAATTCATTTAGTGATGAAAGAAAATTAATATGGAATTTACAGATTGTTGCGGAAAAAGATAAGGTTAAGATTTAATCTAAACAATTGTAGAAACACACGGTTTACACAGAGGATAAAAACAAAAGAGAAAAGAGTTAGAATAAGAAAAGGTGCATGATGAGAAGAGAGTATTCTCAACTATTTATACCTCTTGTATTTAATGCAAGTCACAGGGTATAAGTCACATGACAAACTTTTAATGGAGAGATTGTCCTTTGTCTTCAGATATGCAAGCTCTTGACCGCATATGAACAATTGTCTTTTACAAAGTTGGTTAGCACATTTGGAGACAGTAAAGTAACTCTGTAAGTGTACTTTTTGTCGGGTTGTGATAAATTTCGATAACCCAAAAAAACATTAACAGCGGAAGCAAACAAAATCGAAATCATGACCTTCTTCTGGTTATAATCCGATACAAGTAACAAAACAAACATAGAGGGTGATTAGAAAAACCCTTTAGATGGAAGTGAAGAACCCAATAGTAGGATCCTCTCTATCGTATTCACACCCAAAAACTTCAATCACTTGTAAACAACAAGAATCACCTTTCTCTTCTCGTGCAATCCCAAAAGCACCACATTTTATATTGATAATATGTGTGCTTTGTAGTTTTCGACCACACCCTTAAGGAGAGGGTGTGGGCGTCATTTTCTAGAGGAGAGGAGAGGAGAGGAGAGGAGAGGAGAGGGAGAGCTCAAAAGTGAAAATTAGGTTCAAGGTTTAGGGATAAGCATCCTTTTATAAGGCCTAATCCCAACTAAAACCTAACCATATTAGATCAAGACCCAATCTTAATTAAGCTCAAATAGGTTTAGACTAATAACTAATTAGTCCCTTGATAACTCTCAATTTGTGAGAGTTATTTGTTGTTCAATACTCCCATTTTATTGTGTCTTTGGTACCCATTTTACTCATATCCTGTATTTTTGGTCCAAAATATGTTAAGAGGTGATGAAAGGTCAAGAATTTGATTATTTTCTAAAAAACCCATTGTTGTTGGTAAACTGCCCACTTTCTGCTCACATTCTTCCTATGGCGTATTTTCCTCAAGACAGATTTGAACAAAATTCAAATACTGGCTCTTTTGGGTATTAATGAGATTTAATTCTGAAGTCAGATCCGAAAGTCTTGAATTATTTTGAAGAATGAGACTTGTTGGATTAAAAAAATGTCTTAAAAGTAACCCTACCATTATTTTAATGAAAAGACCTTAATTATCTTTTCCTTAATTTAAGGGTTAGGTAACTTTACCGTTTTTAACCTTTCAAGAAAAAGTGACAAGGCCTGAAAAGTAGATAAGAAGTGATGGGGGGTCTTTACCCTCTAATCGATGAAGACTTTCTTCCTTTGGGCGAAGAGTTTGTCCGGTTATCACTTTTTCACTATATATTGAAGCTTTTCTCTCATTTGGAAGGGAACCAATCCATCAACAATTCAGCCAAACAACCTTGGAGCGTTCTCTCAAGCTCTACAGCAGTAGAACAAGTTTAATTTCTGCTTTTAATGTTATTTTCGTATTTAGTCTTTAATTCTCGCCACTGTGCATTGTATGCTCCCTGTGGGCAACAGTTTAAGTGCAATTTCAGTTCAAGTATTTCTTATGCATTTTTCTTCTTCTGTTTCCTCTATGTTTTCTAAATTTATTATGAGCTAAGCACTCCTTTGGGTGTGGGTGTGAGTCAAACTTAAGAATTTGAAGGCGCACTTGGGTGTTGCCAATTTTATTGATTCTTAAGCTTGGTCATTTAAGGGAGGAAGAATGTTATAACCAGGTTTGAGGTAATTTATAAATGTTTATTATGTGGATTACGTGAAATATGCATATCTAAGTAGAAATGCATGAACTATATATGTGAAATGTGAACATGATATTGTGCATGCATATATGTGAAAAGATGGCATGATATGTATGTAATTTATACATATATGCAAGTGGTGTGAAGCATACATGAGGTGGTGCATTTTGTGATAAGATATTCGGGTGGAAACATTATTCTATTATTTAAAAATTTATATCTTCATGGTTAAGAAATCATGAATTTTATAATGCAAAACCCACCACCCAAGGTTATTTCTATTGGCTAAAGCTTTCACCGCCTATGAGTTTTATAATTAAAATAATCTCCACCGCCATGGTGAGAGTATTTAAAGAAATAAAAAGATAAGATTTTACCTTATCATTTCATTTGAAGAAAAATCTGTTGAAAGAGAAAACGAGTATTGTGGCGGTGAGAAGTGTTCTTGAAGGAATCTTTTGTTCAAAGCTGTTTGAAGAGCTTGTGTTTTGTTGTGTGTTTTAAATCTGTAAAATCTGTGATTGTTAAGGTGAGTTTTTAAACTACCGTTAATTATAAACTGTGAGTTTTATAATTACTGTTGATTTTACACTATGAGTTTTTGATGACTAGAATCTTTATATATTTTATTATATAAACTGCTGGGTTTTGATATTGGTTTTGAAGAAAAGATGGTAAAACTATTTTGATAGTTTAAAGGTGTTATTGTTATATATTTRTGTATTAAAACCCGTTTTAGGAAAGATAAAGAAGAGGTTGCTTCTTTAAAATAATTTTGAAATGATATCCTTTTGAAAGGATACAAAAGGATTTGAGTTTGGAAACATTACTGCAAGAACTGGTTGTTCTTGAATATTCAAAGTTTTGATGATAAAACTGTATGTTGAAGACTATAGAGAATATTCTTTTGAGACGATTGTGATTTTGATCTGTCTTCATTTGAAATTAATCTATGGATTTTATGGATAAAACTATGAATGAGGATTCGATAAGATAGTTGTGACTGCGGTCCTTCATCCGAACTAGTTCATAGATTCTGAAGAAGAAATAAGGGTGGCATATCAAGGAGAGGTGTCTTTTGGAATAAGGGTGGCATATCAAGGAGAGGTGTCTTTTGGAATAAGGGTGGCATATCAAGGAGAGGTGTACCTTTTGATATAAGGGTGGCAATTGTGTGTGAATATTATAGCTCTTACTATTATGTCTTTTAAGATTACAATAGATCTGAGTCCTTACTTCTTTGTGATTTGAGAACTCAAAGATATTGTTCTTATTAGAAATAATAGTATTGATGTTATTGAGAAGGGGAAAACTTGGCCTATGGCCATTGTTATTGGTTAAAAGTGTTTTGGAACAGAATGGTCGTTTTTATGAGGAATCAGAGGGGCTTTGGTTGTTCCTTGTAAGGAACCAGAGTGGCTCTGGTTGGTCCTCATTATTGGACCAGAGGATTCTGGTTATTGATTTGGAGGATGAGCAAGTTTTTACTAAATGTATTAATTGGATCAGAGGTTTTGTATCTATTGATAAGAACTTTCATATCAAAATCATATTTTTAGATGTTTTAAGAAAAGAATTTTATACTTAGAATCTTTTTATGAAAAACAGACCAGAGAGGCTCTGGTTGGCTTACACGTTGAACTAGAGAGGCTCTGGTTGATCATGTCTTTTGAACCAGAAGCTTTGGTTAGTACAACCAGAGGCTCTGGTCGAGAAACCAGAAGCTCTGGAAGAAAGACCAGAGTGGCTCTGGTCCTGCATGTTGAAATATATTCCAAGTGTGGTTTGGAACCAGAGGCCCGATGGACCGAAGCAGTATGTTTTTAGTTTTGCTTCATAAGATAAATTATTTGAAATAAATGTTTTGGTGATCTTCACCCTGCATTACATAAAAGGGAACCTCACTAGACATTCATGTCTAACCCTCATTTCGTGTTTTCAAAATTATGTGTGCAGGTAAAGATAATAAGGGAAAGAACATTATGTGAATTGCTTCCCTATATGCTTAGCTGTTTTTGGAAGCGTAGATGCTAGGATGCAAGAACATGTACTTTTGGAATTTTTGGCTTGCATATTTTACATTACAGACTCTTGTATCAAGGACCTATGTGGGGGAAAACATGTATTCATTATATAAAATATGTGTTATATGCAATGTAAGAATTGAGGGTGTTACAGAGATGGTATCAAAGCCTGAGTTTAAGGGATTTAGGTATTCACATGCATGATACCTAGACTTAAACTATTTCATTGCATATTAGGGTCCCGACATAGTTAGCACCTTTGGAATAAATATAATAAGTTAAGAGATTAGTATGTAAGGTATTTTCAAATTACATTTGGCCAATGTAATTTTGAATCTACAGGTACATAACTGAACTTGGACACTTTATTATATTTAGGAATGTGAAAAATATGTGTTTTAACTTTGTTATCTACAGATGGCTAGTAGATCAAGAAGGTCAGAAAGGATCACTCACCCCAATGAAGAAGAATCCCCTGTTGCTCCTATTGGCACCTCTGAAGGCAGAAGCAGAGGCAGAGGTATAGGCAGAGGTAGGGGGCAGACCAGAGACAGAATAAGCCAACCAGAA